AAAGTAGAAGTACTCAGATCTTGTACTATGTAAAGTACTCAGATCTTGTACTTAGTAAAATTAGAAGTACTCAGATCTCTGAGGGACAGAGCTTACCGAGAGAGCATAACAGGGGAACCCCCCTCTCTCTCTCGCTCTCTCCCAAAAAGAAAGTTCCTCCCTCTCTGCCAGTGTATTTATCCTCAACAACAGGATACAGAAACCTAAAGACACCTCCTCTATACCCATATTTGTGGAAACTGGGCATGGCCTCTGATGTACAGGACTGGACATGACCAGACATATTCTATTGGCTATGCCATAAGAAACACCTTCCCATGTTTGTGTAAAAAGGACATGACCAGACATATTCTATTGGCTATGCCATAAGACACACCTTCCCATGTTTGTGTAAAAAGGACATGACCCCTGCAAAATATTATTCTCGGCTATGACATAACCAGCTTTTTGGGGCCTCTGTGTTTTTCTCCTTAAGTCCGAAGCCCCCCTCCCTGTGTACTGCTGTGAGGGAAGAGGGAAGAAACTGCCTTCTCCCTTATCATTGACACCCATAAATTATTATAGGCCTTACACTCAACTTAACAAACCACTTGTGTTTTGTTTATACTGTAAATATAGAAAAACCTAAAATATGAAGCATTTTCATTGTGGGTTATACAAGAATATAATTGATTATATTTGATTATAACTAACTGTCGTTTTAATTATTCAACCTGATATGGAGATCTCAACAGCTGTTAAAGGTGCAGCTAGTTTGAATGACTTCGTATACTGCAGGGCAGCTTGTGAATTTACTCCAGGTGGAACTAAAGTCTGATTTAACACTTGATTATATTCCACATCATTCATCCACATCTGTGAAGTAACTAAAGGTTTTCAATACATGTAGTGGAGTCAAAGTACACCATTTACCTCTGAACTGTAGAGGAGAAGAAGAACAAAGTAGCAAAACATTTAAATACTTAAATAAAGTGCAAGTATCTCAACATTGTACCCAAGTATAGTACTTGAGTTTATGAACGTAGTTACTTTACAGAGGCATGAAAATACATTTTCAAAATGCTCAACAGTGCTGCCAAAATGATAAACTGACTGCTACACAATTAAATTAAATGCTTTTATATATTTCTATTAGATGTGACTCTTTAGCGTTTCTGTTATTATTAACTGCATTACTTGTTCTGACTGCTAAAATCCTCTGTTATTCCTAATTTTTAAGCCGATATTCCGTGGGGTCGGGGGGCTCGGATCCTTGTCACCTTTTTCATACCTGATGAGTTTGTATCCCTGAAAACCCAGCGTCATGATGGAGGGAATTTGAACAGTCGTCCTAAAATATGTTATTATCACAACCAGACACACCCATAAAATAACCTTTGATGAGATTTAAGGTTTTGTCATGGGTTAGTGACATCATTGTCTCCCTCAAAATAAGTAATTCACCAAAAAAATCAATTTCCTGTTGATAAAGATCCGTAATATAATGTTAAGAGAAAATGAAACATTGATTTCAATTCAAACATAACAGAGAAAGTATATAATGTTACAAATTAGCTCCTTCTAGTAACAAAGAGGAAGATAACAAAAAAATCACCATAATTGAATTAAATTGGTCACACTGAAGACTCAAGTCATTAATTCACGGAGTTCACAATTACTTTCCTAAATTGGGCATGTATCACAAGGACAGTGGCTTACCCAGGTGTTACCACTGCATGATTTCCTGTTCACCAGCTTCCACTTTGCAACTTGGTACCTAAAAAGCAATTTTAAGAGATACAAGAGAACACTGGAAACAGATTAGAAGAAGAACCACCTTATGGTGCGGTTCTGTACCGTTATCAGCCACAACATTCAGAACCTTTATGATGCTGAATATCTGGATGGAAAGCTGTAAAAACAATCAGCATTTAATCAAATACCGATTTGATCTAGTATTGTGAGAGGATTATCATTGGGGAGTGATCCTGGACGATCCCCCATAAAGGAAGTTAACAAAAAAGTCACCATTATTTAATTTAGTTGGCCAAACTGAAGACTTAACATGGCATTAAAAAACACGTGGACATGTGGCAGCTGAGGGTCTCCGGCTTTTGGCATGGCTAACAAAAGGACAAAGTATGGTCTGCAGCCCTCCTAAAAGCAGGTGATACATGTATGCCCCGTCTCCCCGAAGACGACCTTGGCCTTCACTCTGCCCACAGTAGGCACTCTGTACACAACACATTACACAGACACACACCAAACATTGGACAGACCCAGGGTTGTCTCAACATGTGCTTCTGTGTTAGTCCTGCTCCTGTGCAAGCTGAGGATATTTATGTGAAAGTGTTTTAAATAGAAGGCTTTTAGACAAAATACTGGTGATTGAAAAGTAATGACCGTACTTGAAGACTTAGATTACACTGCTAAAGAGCTTTTTATAACATGTAAAAAATGTGTTGCTGTTGTGACGACCCTTTCAGTCAAGCAGGGCTTGTTGATGTCAGTGTCTGTGTGTTCCCTACAGGTCCTGGTAGGCGTGGCTCCATCATCAGGGTAACATGGCCAGTCTCCTTGTGGCCTTTAAAGTCGGCCATCTCAGTCCCTCCTGGCTTTCTTCCCCGAGGGACCAGCACCTTAATTGTTTGTTGTTTTAAAGGTCTCCTATCATGCAAAATGCACTTTTGTACGTCTTTTATACATAAATATGTGTGTCCGGTGTGTCAGGAAACTCACAAAGTGTCAGAAAACAAAACCCTCTCTCTTTTCCTCCGTCCCCAAATCTCTAAAAGTGGGGGTACAACGCAGCTGATCCAGATTTGCGTCCGATATGACGTAATATCGGAAATGTGGACCCACGGCACTCAGAAACGTCCCTCTATCAGAAACAATGCGCAACGTGTTTTAGAAGTAATAAGGTCTTTGTTTACATTAGCAAGCATCACTAACACTCAGAGCTAACCTGTACTGGAGAGAGTATGTGTAAAAAAGCAGGAAATAAAAAAAGGAACTCACCTTGTCGTAAACCCGCCTTTGAGCTCCATACTGTTTCAGAAATAATCCTTGAAGTGATTTTGAACATGATATGGCGTTTCATCACGGCAGCATGTTTTCTTCTTTTTTTAAAATTTAAAGCTAAGGACCCAGAATCAGCACTTCTCTAACAGGGCTGAAATTGAGGGATGTCTACGATGTATGATCTGTTTGGTTTTTCTTAGCAAAACACATCATAGAAATGTTTTTTATATTTTTTTTATATCTGAGACCCATAATGTATGCCTAAAATAGCATGATAGGATATATTTAAGTTCAAGATAAACTGGAGGCTCGTCCAGTCTGTTTATAGTACCTGTTCAGAGTTGAATGCGTTGATTAAACTTTGGAATGGGCCGTAGTTGGTTATGAATGTGTCACGAACACGATCACAGGTACAGATCAGAACCCAATAGCACGACTCAGATACAACCAGTGTATAGCAATGCTCAGTTTATTCTGGTCAGGGACAGGCAGGGCCAAAACCAGGAAATCCGTCAGACAGGCAACCAAAAACAGACAGGGAGCAGGCAGGAACTCGAGATCCGTAAACAGGCAGGCAGGGATCAAAAACCGGGCATGACAAAAATCTAGGCTAGAGAACAACACTCACTGGAGAGCTTGGCGGAAACGACAAGACAATCTGGCAAAGGACCAGTGATAGTGAGGTGGTATAAATACTGTGGAGTGATGAGGGAATGAGTAACAGGTGAGGGGAAGGGCTGGGGAGACCAGGTGAGGGAAGTGAGCTGATTACAAGGGCCTGGAGGAAGGCGGGATCTGAAATGACAGGAGAGTTTAGATGAGCCACCAAACAAACAATAATAGAAGTGTCTAACTTGTGACAATATTTGTGTCGGACAGATTAGAAATGTTGAGTTTCTGTAAATAAATAATAGTCATTGTTCATTACAGTTTCTGAATATTTGTTTTATATTTGTGAATATGCCTGGGTGTTGCCATCTGTACGTGGCGGCGCTGCATTCTTTACGCTACTTACGTTGCTATGGTTACTATAGTTTGCCGGCACTGTATTTGAAATATTCATATTGATATTTTCTTAAATGTGGCTTTGTAATAAGAAATATGGCGAAACGAAAACATCCAAGCCTCGCAGCTTTTGGATTCACAAGCAAAGAAGCGAAGGAGTCTAAAAATGACAACGTGAACGGAACAACTTTTAGTTGGCCGGCTGTAAGCGGCGTTAGGGTCGAGTTTGACAGCTTCTTACCGAGGGAGAGGCCGGCCGATGCGGAGCCTGAAGAGAGGCTTNAAAGAGAGGGGGAGAGAGAGAGAGAGAGAGAGGGAGAGAGAGAGAGAGGGGGAGAGAGAAAGGGGGAGATAAAGTGGGAGAGAGAGAGAGAGAGGAGGAGAGAGAAAGGGGGAGAGAAAGTGGGAGAGAGGGAGAGGGAGAGAGAGGGGGAGAGAGAAAGGGGGAGAGAAAGTGGGAGAGAGGGAGAGGGAGAGAGGAAAAGAGAGCGCTTCCGCTCATCTCTCCCGTGTTATTCTC